CTCCTGGGGAGCTGAAGGGCAGAGGGCCAGGGGCCTGAGGGGCCTCATCTTGAAGACCAGAGGGCAGAGAACCAGTGCCAAGGCTGAGGGCAGCACCCAGCAGGGCCCATGGCACCTCCTCGCCCTCCAACTGCTCATCTCCCCTGTCAGGTCTCAGGCTTGGGGTGCCCTGAGAGTCACACCACTCAGGGCTGCCGCTATGGACAGGTCAGCATCATAGTAGGGCCCAGACCAACTTCCCTTTGCCCCTGAAACCTGGATGGGAGCATGTGATCGAGACCCTCCCTGTCCCTTGCACACCCTCCCCAGAGGTCCTGCATTCCAATCATAGCCTCCCCTCCCAACCCCCAGGTACCTGTCGCAGGCCCTCCTGAAGTGCCCAGACCCGGTCCTCCTCGCCTCTTCAGGCAGGCGACCCGACTTGCTTCACACCACTGTTTGGCAACCAGGCTTAGTCACTCACGGTGGGAGGGCTGTCCCAATGTGAAGAAGGGCAAATCACAAATGTCAACTGGCTGAGGCCCGAGTGCCAGGTTCTTGCCAGAGGCACTACTCTTACACCAGCCGGCACAGTCTGGAGCCCGTAATGAAAGAGGCTGACAGTCCATTAGCAGCAGAGTGTCCACAGGGCTCGGGGGAAGGGAGCTGTCATCCACCTCACTTCAAAGGCTTTTGACAGTGAAATCAACTCTGTGTGTGTGTGTGTGTGTGTGTGTGTGTGTGTGTGTGTGTGTGTATGCGCGCGCACATGCGCACAGGCATGCACGCAGGTGCACATGAGTGTGTGCATAATATAAAAAGAAAGGAACATCAACCACAACGGTGCCTGTAAATATGGGCCGACAGACAACAGTCTAAAACTGAGAAGAGGACATGTCAACATTTTTCTTGTACGCTGTCCTCCCAACCTGAGGGCAGGTCTGAGACAATCCCTTAACAACAGAACAACCATGTCGCAGGATCAGAAGACCCTGAGGTCTTCTCATACACCCCTTCTCTGATGTCCAACTCTCCCCGGCAGTGTTCCTGACAAGTGTTCCTTTCTCTTGAATGCCTCCAGTCACAGGGAACTCACCGCCCACTGGGACGTGTCAAACATCTCACTTGCGATTCCTCTACTGGCTAGAAAGTTCCTCCTGACCTAAGAGCTTAAACTTGGGGCCATATAACTTCCACCCATCGGTTTAGTTTTGCCTTTGAAGTCAAAGGGGAAAAAAAAAGCCCAATCTCTTTCCTCCAAGACAGCCCTCTCGTGCGTCTCCTTTCCACGCTGCCATGGTTTGAAGTGCCCTCACCAGGCTGCCTAGTGCTTTCTGGACAAGATCCAGTTTGTTAATAACATCTTCAAAACGTGGCTCCCGTACCAGGACATAAAATCTCTGCTGCAGCTGTTCCCAGTGTGAAAACACATGCATGTGCACGTAGAAATCAAGTTCCTAACTGGATTTTCACTAATTCCACATTTCACATCATACTGGCAAACACCTTGCTGAAAGCCAAGTGTACTGCACCCACAGCATGCTCTTGATCAACCACCATATTTGCTCTCTCAAGAAAAAATAAGAAGGAAAGGTGCCCAGGAATGGATCCTGCTCCCCACCTGTGGCCCGACAGCATGGGGATGGGCAGGACCTGCGCCTTCATTGTCCTGGACACTAATCTATTAATTCCACCTCCGATCACATTAACCTTCATGGAAGCCAGAGCTCACTGACTCAACTGAGGTTCAGGCCAGGTCACAGGCTCAGATTTTTGCTTGTTTGAATGCAGGAATAACAGAAGAGTTAGTAAGATAATGAATTATGTGTTTGCATCTTCCTCCTCACCCCACGCAAGAGGCCAGCATTGGGCTTCCAAAGGCACCGTGGGTGGGACTTTGTGCAAAGGTCCTGCAAGGGGTGGGGAAGGAGAGAGACAGTGTGAATAGAGGAGGTAGACGAGGTAGGTCATGGGGAGAATGGGTGCTTCCCGGAGACGGGGCAGAAATGGGGGTGGGGTGGCAGGGACTAGTGCCCTGCAGGCCCATGGTACTTGTCAGCGGAGGGCTCTGTCAGGGGCATTCTGAGCCCTTCCAGAGCAGAGTGTCCAAGAAGCAAGGGCAGATTCCAGGGCTGAACCCCAGCATGGCGGAGTACAGAAGCGACCGTAGAGATAGTGAGCAAATGGAGCAGGGCCCAGCCAACATCTCTGGCTTCTTGCCCCACGGAGGGCCAGGAGTCCTGGGATGGGGGCCAGACTGAGAGGTGGCTAAGGTTAAATTTCCAGCCTCCTGACTGGATAAATCTGGATCACAGAAATAAAAGCCTGTGATGTTGTATCCCAGAGTCATTAATAAAAATCACACCCACCACATCTATTGTCAGCACTCCAGGGATCTCCCCCTTTGGATGTTGTACAGTTGATTTGGGGGATCCAAGTATATTGCTTCATATTTATTCATGCTAAATTCTTCCTTTGTCACATCAAAGCAGCCTTCTGATTTGTTGTCATTTTATAAGCTCTTCCTCCAAGATTTACAAGACCTGCGATTTGGGCTGCCTAATCCCAACCAGTAACAACAGGTGTTGAACCCGGCCGGGCAGAGCAGAGGGCAGAGGGCAGAGGGCAGAGGGCAGGCGCACACTTGCTGCCCAAGACTTCCTTGGCCTGCTGACAGGGACACGCTGATTAGTGAGCTCTCGCCCACAGCTTGTCAGTCCCCCAGAAATTCATCCAACTAGACTGCTATCCGTTCCACGTTTCTCTGCTTTGTTCATAAAGATATATTGTCAAATGCCTCGCTGAAACCCAAATGTACTCTACCTACTACATGTTCTCAATCTATCAGCACAGAGACCCTCTCAAGGAAAAAGAAACATGAAAGTAGGGAAGGACAGAAGGAAACTAGGTTAATCTGGCCTGACTGGCTCTTGGCGAATCCACACTGGCTCTGAGTGGTCCCTACTGTCTTTTCTAAGGGCTCCATCAAATCTGGTCCCATCCTACCCCAGCTCATCACTAAAGATCATGTACCCCATCCCACCCCCACCCAATATCCCAATGCCCCTGTGCTGGTCTCCATGGATTTATGAACCAGAGTTCACAATCAGACAATAAGACAAGAAGTAGGAGGAAAGCAAAGAAAAACTGGAAACATAATTTTTATTTTATTTTATTAACAAGTCTAAAGAAAATTTCATTGAATTACGGATATAATATAAATTATGGTGACCTGCATATAAAACCTGGCATCACGTTTGGCCTTTTAGAAACATTTATGTATAAAAATATGCATTAAAATCTGCACCAGAACACAATGTGGAGGCTGACACCCCAACAGGAGCGCTTACAAAGGTGGGTCTGGTCTGCAGACGCAGAAGGTCTTGGTCCTACAGCCTCAGGCTGAGCCCTATGTGAAAACGGTCGGCTCTGAGGAGGGGCCCAAAGAGCTTGCTCTGAAGGCAGAACCCTGTGAGCACCAAAACGCCATAAGCCTGGCGTGAAGCAAAGATGGTGCTGGGAAGAAGGGCCGCTTCCCTAGTTCCTGGGCTCGGGCCACTATGTGAGGGTTCCAGATCTCTATACAAACCACCGTCACCTTTGAGGAACTTCTGCAATTTCCAGAAATGTTTTTTCCAAGTAAGCTAATTCCAACTCAAGGAGCCAAATCATATCATTAGCCTGGTTTTCAGGACTAAGAACTAATTCTATGTCATTTTCTGCAGGTCAAGCCTCTGAAATAGCTATCAGAAGGGCCATCATCACAACAGAAAAATATAACAATGATGGCCTCAATCTATTTCAGTCTTAGACCAAATGCAACTGAGCAAGTCTGGCCCAGAAATTATACTTCCCAGGCAATGAAATGAAAAGCAGCTTTGATCCACGTTGGAATTCCCCCGTTCTGGGAGCAAACCATCTCTGCACAAGGCAACTGAAGGCTCTGGGAGAGGCAGGGTCAGTATTGCACATCTGTCTGCAAGGAGGGAGATGCAGTTCCTTCGCTGGCAGGCCTGTCGTCTGTCTGAACGGGGTCAGGTGGGAACTTCCTTTCCGCCCGGGGCCATTTGGGTATTTATAACATCATTCGTGGGCCATACAAAATGATCACCTTAAAAATGAGCCTGCTGTATTTAGTCAAACATTTCATTCACTCACTCCTAATGCCTGGGCAGGGCCAGGCCAAACGATTTAGGGCCGGACGTCCCCCACCCCAGGTCTATTGGCTTATTCCTTCATGGAGGAGCTGATGTCCCTGGCCTGCTCGTCCTGTGGCTCTGTGGCAAGTGGCAACTGTCCCGGCCTCAGCTGCTGAGCTGCTGCCCAGTCAGTCAGGATGCCAGGCTGGGAGAGACACAAATGGGAACCTGACAGACATGGAGGGTGGGCGTCAAGGAGCAACCGGAAGGCAATTGGGCAGGACGAAGAAGCCTCGTGGACCGGAAGTAGCTGGCAAGGAGAGCAGGTGCCTCTACAATTTCAGGGCTCCTAACAGTAACTGAAAGGGCTGCGAGTCGTAGCCCCCCTCACCCCCCATCATTCCAGCAGATTCCACAAAGGGAAACAGCCGCCCTGCCCATTCCATCCTGAAGCAGCATCTTCTCAGCTTCCTCCAGGGGTGGGTCTTTCCCCTTCCCAGTCCTGCTGGCTTGTTTTGCCACAGGGTGATCTGACTCTATTCCTCAACTGTGGCAAGAAGTGAAGAGAGAGAAAGGACAAAAGCCTCTGCATCACAATTTAGGCAAATAGCCTGGAGGCACGTTAGGCTGTTTCAGGACCCAAATGCTCAGAGGAAGAGACAGGTGCTCTTGGTGTCACCGGGCCTGACACCAGTCATTACCACGTGGCTCTTTTAGGACTGGAGGCCAAGCCAGGCGGCTCCTTCACCACGTCTTAGGGCCTTTAGTCTACTTTAAAGTGACCTAACAACACCCTCTAGTGGAAATTATAAATAACACAAGGGCCATGCAGCCAATTCACCTTCTGATACCAGTGATTTCAAGATTCCCCAGAACAAGACATTATCTTTAACAACGTAATAACTTTAAAAAAGGTGGGAGTTTACAAGCCATCCTTAGGGTCCTCACTGCCAAATCACCTTCTCTCCTGAGAAACTGCTTTCAACACAGTCTCAGACAGGGCGACCTGCTGCCGGAGGAGCTCCTGGTCCCCTTAGAGTTTGGGCAGACTGCCTGCTGGTGCCAGGATGATGCCAAAGACGTAGAAGAGCCCCAGCAGGAGGTTGAGTTTGGCGGTCCTCTGGGGCAGTTTGTTGAAAGTCTGGCTCCGGAACTGCCTCTCCAGGGAAAAGGCCATGGGAATGGTGAGCAGGGGGAGGGCCAGGCTGATGCTGTAGTGCGTGGCCAGGATGCTGAAGATCAGGTAGGGCAGGAAGAGCAGCGTGTTGTAGAGCATGTACGAGAAGGTGGGGCCGATGAGGATGGCGAGCGTGACGATGCCCGCCTCCCGGTCGGACTCCATGTCCCGGGTGTTGTTGGAATGGAGAATGGCCTCGGTGCTGAGGGCGAGAGGGATGGCGTACACCAGTGGGAAGACGGCCAGGGACCCCACCTGGACGGCGTAGGCGAACATCACGGCCAGCGGGCCGAACGTGATGAGGATGACGAGGTCTCCCAGAGCCACGTACTTGAATCCAATCCCTGTGGCCAGAAAACCCAGAGAGTTGGTGTGAGATCAAGGACTGTTCATCAGTCAGAGACCAGCCACTTCGGGCCGGGAGCGCTGGTTTCTCAGCCGAGGAGAGTGGCCGTCACTGAGTTCCCTCCCCTCTGGTGACACGGAGGTCCAGAGAATACTGACCTTTTAGCACTCGGTGAGGCTTCAGAGTCACACCCAGTCCTTCCTTTCTACTGCCCCCCAACTACATCCTGCAGCAAAGAGCTGTGGGTTCCCACCACACACAGTTCCACAGAAGAGCCGTGAGGATCTGAAAGGTCTTACAGTCCAGTTTTCGGCTTCTTTCACCCTTTTCCAGCCCCTGCAAGACACCGCTTCTGTCTGTAACACCGCTGGGCCAGCCGTCACGGAATATCCAGCCCAGTCTTACGCTTCCGCCTCCTTCCTCTACAACCTCTGCAGGCAGCTGCTGGTTTTGAAACCACCGCCACCCCCCCACCCCCACCCCACAAGCGAATCTCAGTGAAATTGCAGGGTTCCCAAACTTTGCATAAAGAAACCTTCAGCTACACAATGAGTAAAAGAACTAAGATGATGAAGTTACAAAGCAGCTTCCCCTCTCTGGTTCCCATTAAGTTAAAACTAAGTCATCCTTAACGCCTCTTCCTGTACTGCTATCGACTTCAAATCCTGTCTAATCTACTTCCGTAAAACCTGCCCAGTTCTCTGCAACCCCAGCGGCACACTCCAGTCCACCTCACCCCATCTCCAAATCCAAGTAGTGGTCATTATATGTCTGGAATACTGCAACAACTCCCAAATTGTTGTAAGGATGGCTTCCATTCTTATAACAACCTCCGTTCCCCCCTACCACCACCACCTAATCTCCACATGCAGCCAAAGTGATCCTTTAAAAATACTAATCTGAGCTCTAACTGGTTTGGCCTGCGGACTTAAGGGTCCCAGGTTCGATTCCAGTCAAGGGCATGTACCTTGGTTGCGGGCACATTCCCAATAGGGGGTGTGCAGGAGGCAGCTGATCGATGTTTCTCTCTCATCGGTGTTTCTAACTCTCTATCCCTCTCCCTTCCTCTCTGTAAAAAAATCAATAAAATATATATATTTTTTAAAAATACTAATCTGACCATGCCCTCCCCCACCAACATATACCCAAAAACCCTTATCAACACATTGTCCTCAGGATAAAAGCCAAACCTTTCTTTCTCCTGGCTCCCCTCTGGCCTGCCCTGGCTCTCTCCTGCTCACCTAGAGCTCTCCTCCCCTCTCCCCTCATACCTTTCATTTCCTGAGGCCTTGAGAACCATCCTCCCCCCTTTGCCTGGCTGACTCCTACTCACCCTTCAAGACTATAAAGGCCATTCCTCACCCCTTCCTTCACCCCTACACCACATTCGGTCCCCTTGCAACATGTTCCATGCACCGACTTCTACTTTCATAAACTTCATCACACTTGTCATCATTTAATGTCTGTCTTTCCAACAAACACTAGATTCCATGAGGGCAGGGCCTTGTGTCTAGCTTGTTCACAGCTCGCTCCCCAGCACTTGGCACAGGCTGAACTGAACACAGAGCTACAATAACAAGCACCTGGAATATGGGTCCGAGGTCAGACAGACACCCCACTCAGAGTAAAGCAGCACGGATGGGCGAGAGGTGACCCACGCATACACTGCCACAGAAGCTTGGGAAACTCCAGGCCTAACTGTGGGGGCAGTTAGACATGAGCAGAACAGGACGATGGGCCAGGTACAGAAGGTCCCCAGGGTGAAGAGCCCCTGGTGCCAAGCAAAGAACAATTGTAGGGGGGACCTCGCCCCCAGGGTGACCTTTCCTCCCCTAGCACATCACTGGTCATGAGGTTTGGACCCCCTGACCTTTCCTCCCTAGAGATAACATCTAGTCCCCAGTTATATTTCAGCTCCAGGCCCAGAGAAGCAGCCAAACCAGACCAGCGACCCCATGGCTGACCTCAGAGCAGCTGCACTGAGTAATGCCCTCTGCCCTGGGCCCACCAATCAATCAGTGCAGACCACAACCCTGAAAGGACCCCTGGAAAGCTGCTGGATGTCCTACTGAGATCCTGCCCCGCAACCCCCCCTAAGATCTCCCTTAAAAATCTTAGGATAAGGCCCTGGATGGTTTGGCTCAGTGGATAGAGCATCGTCCCAGGTTCGATTCCGGTCAAGGGCACATGCCTGGGTTGTGGGCTCGGTCCAATGTGCAGGAGGCAGCCAATCAATGATTCCCTCTCATCAATGATGTTTCTATCTCTCCCTTCCTCTCCCTTCCTCTCTGAAGTCAATAAAAATATATATAAAAAATATACGAAAGATAGTTAAAAATAATTTTTAAAAAAATCTTAGGATAAGGACCCAGCATGCTCTCCCTCCCCTTCCCCTTTCCCTCATCTCCACAAGCTCCAAGGGCCCTTCCTTTACCTCCACAACTTGTTTCCTAAGCCCCTTTCTCTTAGGAATTACTCCTTCTACCTCTGTGACTTACCAAATCACTGTTCTGTTACAGTTTGGGCCTACAACACAACCGGGCTGGGCCAGGTTACTGATTCCTGTGCACCCATCACCAAGCTACCAAGGCACAGCCTCCACAGGAAAACTGCTTTCACCACCTAAAGCGATAAGGGACAATGGTCTATAGAGGGTCTGAAGCCAGGCAGCCAAAGAACAAGATTCAGCCCAACATCACCTTCACACTAGTCGTTGGGCTTCTTTGATTTCTGTCCCCCCCACTTCAGCTTTATTGCGATATAATTAACACATAACACTGAGTAAGTGTAAGGTGTACAAAGCGTTGACTTGATACCCTTATATTGCAAAATGATTCCCACCATAGCGTAAGCTAACACCTCCATCTGTCACCTAACGACCACCCCTGGGTCTTAAGAATGAAGTGCCCCAGGGGACTGAAGCACAGGCATGGTCCCTCTATACCCACCAACACGCAGCAAGCTAATTCTGTACTCCCCAGCAGTGTTTTGATAAATTGCCTGGTTGTCTGAGGACATGCCCTCCAGGAGGAAGTTCTCTCAAGCAGAACATTAGCTCCAGTTCTAAATTAGTAAATCGATGTCTCCTGCAATAGCTCACATATTTAGAGGACTACAGTAATCCCCTTATCCTCATCCAAGACCCCAAGTGGGTGCCTGAAACCACAGAGAGTACTGAACCGTATATGTACTATGTTTGTTTCATGTGCATTCTGCACATATCTTTCCACTTCAAGGAAACACTTTATGGCTTCTCTTTGGTATATCCCAATTGCCAGCATCACTACTCTTGTGATGTGAAATAAAGGTCACTTGAACGCAAGCACTGTGATATCTCTACAGTCAATGTGATAAGCAAGACAGCTACTAAATACGGCTAATGCCAGGGAGCGTATACAGCGAGGATATGCTGGACAAAGGGATGATTCACTTCCAGGGTGGGACAAAGCAGACAGCACAAGATTTCATCACACTACCCAGAACAGCTCGCAATTTAAAACATGAGTTGTTTATTTCTGGAATTTTCCATGTAATATTTTTGGACCACAGAAAACTGAAACTACAGAAAGTGAAAGCGCAGTTAAGGGGGGACTGCAGTAGCCCTGCCCAAGGAGGAAGATGCTGGGTAGGAAGACTCCCAGCACAGATCTGGCTTCTCCACCAGCTGCCTGCTTTCCTGTGGCTTATGTTCTCAGCTCTCCAAGCAGAGTGAAGGGCTCTGACTAGGACAGAAAACACACAGCTCTGAAGCCCTGACCTCTGGCTTACCCAAGATTACCCAAGAACACCTCCTGAGGACACCGAGCAAAACAATGATGTGAGCAAGTTGACAGAAACCTGTGCCTGCAAGGATAAGCCCCCACCTTCAACAGGCCTTACCCCAAAACCAACCGCAAACCCACTTTAGGGGTGAAAAAGGTCTAGAACCTCCTACAGCAGTGGTTCTCAACCTTCCTAATGCCGTGACCTTTTAATAGTTCCTCATGTTGTGGTGACCCCCAATTTCATTGTTACAAATTGAACATAATTAAAGCATAGTGATTAATCACAAAAACAATATGTAATTATATATGTGTTTTCTGATGGTCTTAGGCGACCCCTGTGAAAGGGTCGTTCCACCTCCAAAGGGGTCGCGACCCACAGGTTGAGAATCGCTGTCCTACAGTATAGCTGACCCAAGAAAATGCTAGTGCCCTGAGGAGACAGCCCAATGTCCTAAGTGTCCAACAGGTGGACACCTGCTCCAGAGATGTGGCCCACCTGGGCATTTCCTTTAAGGCACGCCCACCCCTCCCAACACCATTTTCCACAGTGAACTATTGGGCCCGATCTCCACATAGCAGCTGGAATGAATTCGTTACAACAGGAATCAAAATGTTGACAAGAATGTGGAGCAACGGAAACTCTTGCATATTGTGGGATAGAGCAGTACAACCACTTTAGAAAACACTGGCAACTTCTCATAAAGTTAAACATCACCTACCCTAGGACTCAACAATTCCCTTTGTAGGCATTTACCCAAGGAAAGTGAAAACAAATACCAAAAAACATGAACACAAATGTTCAGGCAAAATAGCCAAAATACGGACACAAGTCAAATGTTGAGGACCAGGAAAATGGATAAACAAATTGCAGTATGTCCATCCGATGAACACTACTCAGCAATACAAAGGAACTGCTGCCCTAGCTGGTTTGGTTCAGTGGATAGAGCATCGGCCTGTGAACTGAACGGTCCCAGATTCGATTCTGGTCAAGGGCACATGCCCGGGTTGTAGGCTCGATCCCCAGTGGGGGACTTGCACAGGAGGCAGGCGACCAATGATTCTCTCTCATCATTGATGTTTCTATCTCTCTCTCCCTCTCCCTTCCTCTCTGAAATCTCATCGATGTTTCTAACTCTCTATCTCTCTCCCTTCCTCTCTGTAAAAAATCAATAAAATATATATTTTTTAAAAATAATAAAATAAAAATAAATAAATAACAAAGGAACTGCTAATGTACATCACAACCTGGCAAATCTCCAAACCCTCCTGCTGAGCAAAAGAAGCCAGGCACAAGGATGCATAAGGAATGATTCCATTTCTATGCGGTTCTAGACCAGGCAAAACAAATCTGCATAAACAGAAATCAGAGCACTGGTGGCCTCTGGCTCAGGATGGGGAGAGAGGGGTTGACGGGGAGGAGGCACCAGGAAACGTTTGAGGGTGATGGAAATGTTCTGTATCGTGATTGGGTTTGGGTTATACAGCCATATGCATCTGTCAAAATTCATCAAACTGTAACACTTAAAATCTGGGCACTTCACAGTATGACTTTTATTGCTATATAATTGACAGTGTTTAAAAAACCATAAAATCAGATTATGTCATTACTCTGCTCAATATATTTTATTATCTCCCCATTTGTTCATCCCATGAATATTAAGTACTGACTACATGCCAGACACAGTTCTGGGCACCATGGGTTCAGAGACTAAAATCCCTAACCCCAGGGAGTTTACAGTCTAAGAGGGAAGATAATTAACAAAGTACGTACTTACTTATGCTAAAAGGTAGTATGCTGTGATGAAAAAGCAGAGAAGAGCAATACGGCAAGTTTGGGGGGGATGGGACACAGGGTGTATTGTATGTTTGTGTGTAATTTTATTTTTTCTCAGCTGCTGCAAAAAGCATTGTTTTGTAACTTTAAGTAGGGTAGAAAGCAAGGCCTCACTAAACAACTGACAAATGGGAAGAGTAGGTTAGAAATGGAATCATACAGATAGAAGGGGGAAAGCATTCTAAATCCAGGAAGCAGAATCTTCAAAGGATCCGTGTTTCAGAAACAGCCAGGAGGGCAGTGTGCTGGAGCATGTGAGAAGGCAAAGGAAAGAAAGAGGACAGATCGGAGTGGGGGGACTGGAGAAGATGGGAAGATAATGGCCCTGGGATCATTGTCAAGACCTTGGCCTTTACTCTGAACATGATGGGAGCCACTGCCCAAATGGGTGTGGCTCAGTGGTTGAATGCTGACCTATGAACAAGGAAGTCATGGTTCTATTCACAGTCAAGGCATGTGGTCAGGGCACATGCCCAGGTTTTGGGCTCAATCCCCAGGAGGGGGCATGCAGGAGGCAGCCGATCAATGATTCTCTCTCATCATTGATGTTTCTCTCTCTCTCTCTCTCTCTCTCTCTCTCCCCCTTCCTCTCTGAAATAAAAACATATTTAAAAAAAAAAAAGATGGAAGGCATTGGAGAATTTTGAGCAGAGGACTGATGTAACTGCCTGTTTTAATAGGATTACTTTGGCTGCTGGCTTGAGAACACCCTGCCAGGGACAAGAGTGGGTGCACAGAAGTCAGTAAAGAACCTGCCAAAATACTCAAGGGAAATAAGAGTGGCCGTGGTGAGAGGTGGTGAGCAAAGGTCAGATCCCAAATACATTTTTGAAGGACAGTCAACAGGATTTGCTGATGGACTGATGCACGATGTGAGAAACGAGTTGGGATGATGCCTGTGAAGAACTGAAAGGAAGAAGTTGCCACTGAGTAAGAGGGGGAAGCTGTGGAAGAGCAGGTTTCTTTGGGGAGAAGACCAGGAATTGGGTTTCAGACATGCTTAGCTGGAGGTGCCTGGAGACCTCGAAGAGAAATTACCGAGTAAGAAGCTAAGTAGGAGTCTGGAGTGTAGTGGAGAGATCTGGGCCAGAGGTATAAGTTTGAGTCACCAGTTAGCATCTGAAGCCATGAGACTTGGCTAAAATCACGAAAGGAGGAAATGGAGACAGAGGAAAGAGACCTAAGGATTAAGCCTGCAAGCTGGGAATGAGGAGAAACCCACACAGAAGACTGAGGCCCTAGTAGACCAGCATGATCTAGCCCCCGCCTACCTCTCCAACTACATCTCCATTCTCCCTCTCGAACACATGGGCCTTTCAGTGGATCCTAGATGTCAAGCTCTCTCCCACGCCAGTGCATTTGCGTTTGCTGTTCCTTCAGCCTTGACGGATTCAGCACCTGAGTCAGACCCCAATTCTGCCCGAGGATGGCTCCTTATCCTTCAAGTCTTAGATTAAGTGTCGCCCTCCTTACCCCCTGACACATTCTGTTACAGCATCCACTGGTTCCCTTTACTGAACTTCTTAAGTGACCACCAGGACACCAGTCTCTTGGTCTTCTTTCTCCTCCAGATGCTCCATCACAGTTCCCTTTACCCGTTCCTTCTCTTCTCCCCACCTCTTTTTTTTTAAATATATTTTTATTGATTTTAGAGAGGAAGGGAGAGGGACAGAGAGATAGAAACATCAATGATGAGAGAATCATTGATCAGCTGCCTCCCACACACCCCCCACTGGGAATTGAGCCCACAACCCAGGCATATGCCCTTGACCGGAATCAAAGCCGCAACCCTTCAGTCCACAGGCCGACGCTCTATCCACTGAGCCACGCAGGCTAGGGCTTCTCCCCACCTCATAATGTCAGAGTGGCCCAGGGCTGTCCTGGTCCCCCTCACATCTCTATCAACAACACGCTCTCCTCTGGTGGTCTCACCCAGTCGTACAACTTTATGTGCCAATGATCCCCAAATATCTTTATCTCCAGCTCAGATCTCTCCCTGAACTCGCTCTTACATCCACTTGACATCTCCACTTGGAGATCTACTACGTAGAGCAGTGGTTCTCAACCTGTGGGTCGCGACCCCTTTGGCGGTCGAACGACCCTTTCACAGGGGTCGCCTAAGACCATTCTGCATATCAGATATTTACATTACGATTCATAACAGTAGCAACATTACAGTTATGAAGTAGCAACGAAAATAATTTTATGGTTGGGTCACAACATGAGGAAGTGTATTTAAAGGGCCAGAAGGTTGAGAACCACTGTACTACATTAGGATGCTCTGTCAATTATCTCTCCCAAAACCTACCTTCAACTTTATCTCACTTGAAATCAACTCCATTATTCAAGCTGCTCAGGCCAAAACCTCTGAGTTATGCTTAATTCTTCTTTCTCTCCTGCCTCACATCCCATCTATCAGCATACCCTGCCTGACTACTTCTTCCCTCTCCACTACCAGCCTGATCCAAGCCACCAAACATCTCTTGCCTGGGTTACTCAACAGCTCCCTTCTCCTCCATCTCCCTGCTTCTACCCTTGCTCACTCCCCTTTATCCATTCTCCATACTTTAGCCAGAGTGATTCTTTTAAAACAGTAAGGCCTACATAATCTTTGTGCCTCCCTGACCTCCCCAAACATACTTCCCTTACTTCACTTCCTTTCACTTTCTCTCTCCCTCACCCTGGTCTCCATGCTGCTCCTCAAACTTTTCAGGAACATTCCTGCCTTAATGCCTTTGGCAATTGCCGTTCCAAGATTTGGGACACCCTGCTCAGCCAACTCCCTCACTTCTCACCTCCTTCCATTTTTGCCCACATATTACCTTTTTGATGAGGCTTTCCCTGATCCAACGACTTAAAATAGTCCGCTGTGTCCCCCTTCCTGGCTCTACTTACTATTTCTCTCCGTAGCACTAATCATCTTTCATATGCTATCATCAGGGTACCAACTCATCCTAACCTACCAGGAACTTTCCTGGTTTCAGCACCCAAAGTCCCACATCCTGGGAACCCTCTCAGTCCTGAGCAACCAGGACATTGGTCAACCTAACTATAATTTACTAGTTTTGCTTTCTGTCTCTCCTCATCATCTATAAAATAACTTTCACAGGAGCAGGGATATCTGTGACTGCTGTGTTCACAGGGAACAGTGCTGGCACATAATAAATGCTCAATAAACAGAGCTTAGCCACCTGGCCAGCACCACCTTAATCAGCTGTACAATTGTGAGCGCTTCAAAGTTAATTCCACTAAAATTTGTAACTGTGGCATTATAAGATAGGGCCAACAAAAAGAAATTAGATACAAAAAGTTTCCATATATATAGCAATGACATATATATATATATAATTTCTAACATCCATAAGCCAAGCCAGGATCTTCTCAACCCACTCTTGTTTTCAAAATAACCCACATAACCCGCACACTATAGATTTCACATAAGTGGCCTGAGAACTTTTGAATCCACGCCTCTAGTCCTAACTCCCACCCAAAGCAGCAGTTTGGAGTCCATGAAACGAAGACCTCCAGCACAGGAATCGGGCCAGTCCTTACCTCCCGTGTAGAGAAAGGAGCCAGACAGGCCTCCGAAGTAGATGAGAGCCAAGTGCTCCAGTTTGAGAGCGGACAGGTAGTAGAGGCAAGCGGCACAGACACAGCCCAGAGTGTAGAGGAAGACTCCAAACCGGACCACATCCTGGGGCTCCAAGATCCGGTCCACCAGGGTCCGGTCGTCGCTCTTTTTGTGGTCAATGCCCTTGGAAAAGTCATAGTACGTGTTGACCAAGTTGCCAGCCCCGTGCACGGCCAGCACCGCCACGGCACAGCCCACCAACAGCCTGGGGTCCAGGACGCCCTGGGATCTGTAGGCCAGGGCACTGCCCAGGGCCACCGGGGTGAGCGAGGCGCTGAAGCTCCAGGGGCGCAGGGCCAGCACATAGGAGGCGCACTTGTGCCTCCAGGAGCGCGGGACGGGCTTGTCCCACTCGGGGCAGTCGTTGCCCAGCAGGTCCCTGTCCTCGGCCGGGGCGGTCTCTCCCGCCTGGATGCTAATCTTCTCCCCCGGGACCGGCGAGGCCGCCATGGAGGTGCAGGTGGCTGAAGTCGTCAACGTTGATAGTGAGCCACCCACAGAACAGCCACGGCGGTGGGACCGGGAGGGGCGGGGCGTCCAACCCTGACCTTCCTTCGGGTCCGCCCCGGGGCAGGACTGGGGACGCAGCGGGGCTGCGGGGC